ATCTACTGCAGCTTGACCTGGGGAGATTGCCCGGAAGTTCATTTAAAGCAGTCATCTAGGTGCCGAGATCGCTTCCTATGAATATTATTAAATCTTCATCATTCAAGCCATACGAGTGAATTTTTTCTAAATTAAAAATTCCTAATTAAAAGACGTATATATCATGTGTCAATATTTATTTTTAAATTTCTACTTCTGCAATTACCAGTATTTTATGAAGATTTTTTCATTTTTGGCAATCTTCTGTATCTAGATCAACAAATCAACTTTTTTTTTATAACCAGCCAGGCAGAATTAAACTGCTTTGTTTAATTTTAAAACATACTGGACCATGAAAAATTATTTAGTGGCAAAAGGCTCTGTTTTCAAGAATTAATGACTTTTACTACTATATTAGTTATTTTTATTATATTGCAATCTAATATTAACTTGAAGTATTCTAAATTTTTATTTTGTATGAACAGGGCTCTAGGCAATTAATTATATTGAATTTTATTTGTTTCAAACAGTGAAACACGATAGCCTTATTTATTTTCTGTTTTTGGTCTCCAATTCATTTCTCTTTTTTTTGAATTTGATTCGATTGAATAAATTTGAGTTTAAATTTTTTTATGTATTTTAAGCATGATAATCCATTATTTCTTTTTATTAGTAGATTTTTTTTGCCCGTTACAAAGTTACTGCATTCCGTTGAAATATTATATTGAAAAATTGAACTAAAAACTGATCAAAGCTGAAATGCAGTGGTATCAACAACATTCTTAGCCCTATATATACATATATTAATATGTTCGGTTGAAGATTACACCCCATTTTGCAGTTAGAAGTTTTTTAAATAAAAAAGCCAAACTTCACAGTTTAATAAAGTTGAAACAAAACAGCTTCGTGTTGTTGAAATTTTATTTAAAAAACTTCTAACTGCAAAATGGGGTGTAATCTTTAACCGAACATGTTTATCTGAAAACCTCATACCAAATTATATATTAATATATATATATATATAGATATATATATATATACATATACATAAAATAATATATATATATATATATTATTTTTAATACTTTATTTCTTTCTTCATTCTTTTTCTTCCTCGTTTTCTTTCTCTCTCTCTTATTCTTCATCTATTTTTCCCTTTTTTGGTTTTCATTTTTTTGTTACTTTTCTCATTTTTATTACCATCCCTCATTTTTTCTTGTTTACGTTTTCTCAACGTCCCAGTACTGTACGCGGTCATTTCATTAAATATTTAAAAATAGGTTGACCAAATGTTGTATTGCTGCATGTATGTATGTAGTATGTATGTATGTATGTATGTATGTATGTATGTATGTATGTAGTATGTATGTATGTATGTATGTATGTATGTATGTATGTATGTATGTATGTATGTATGTATGTATGTATGTATGTATGTATATGTATGTATGTATGTATGTATGTATG